TGTGGTTTTCCTTCTTTTCCTATCGTTGTCCTGCTCAGCTCCTCTATTTTAGCATGAAACAGATGATGAAGAAGAATTGCGATCTCATCCAGAGTGGAATCAGGTACTGTCATGACTTCCCATCCCTACAGTAAAATTTTTTACACAGAGGATTTTTTAAGCCACTCAAAATTTAATTCCTAGGTTGCGATGGATGTGCACAGAACGCTGGCGAGATTCCCACCTAACATATCCGACGAAAAAAGATCAACCCTTCAGGATCAACTGATTCCGTTGATTGTTCGAGTTTTACGCGCAAATCCGCGGTTTCGATATTACCAAGGTGACTGATCTACTTATAGCCGTTTTTTCTTGTTTAGATATTGCCCTTTTTAAAGGTTTTCACGATGTCTGTCTAACGGTGATTTTGGTGTGTGGAAAGGAAACTGCCTTTGAAGTCTGCAAGAATCTTGCTACTCATGGACCATTCCGGAGTTACTTGCTAAAAAGCTTGGAAAAGAGCGTATTGAAGGAATTGGAGCTTTTGTAAGTCTGATTTTTTTAATTAGAAGGTCCTCAGGGAATTGTGAACAAAAGTTTAGGTTACACTCAAGGCAGTGCTGTGGTAGAGCCTGTTTTTGTCAGTCTTTCGATGCTCTTGTAAACTTGGTGAATTGTAGAAGATATCTCTGAGTCTAAACGCAAGTCGTGATTTGGAGTAACCAATAGATTAAGAACTACGTTCGTCCTCTTTGTTATCATGAACCGTTTAGACGAAAACTCTTGAGTCGCGAGCTTTGACACTATGGAGCGGGGAAGGCGTTGACCTGGAGGTACAGCGTGCAGTTTGTGATGGTCAAAAGAGCGGAGCGCAGCCTAAGGCAGCGTCCGTGCTTTCCTCTGTCGTGGAATCATGCAAATCGCACAGCGTACAAAGAGCGGAATCGGTGAAATGTGCTATTTAGACTACGCATCGATTCGGTTGTTCTTTCTGTGGGAATTTCGTGCATACCACGCATTAGCCATAGTGGCTCGAGGCAGCAGTGCTACCTGAAGCCGGGACCAACCGTACGAGACCTATTGAGCAGCGTTTTACGAATTCCGCTCTTTTCCTACATTGTATTCATCTCACTATGGCACGAGGCACCGCAACTCTCTAGGCAGCTACTAACCAGTCCGCCTCGACTGAATCCGACTAACTGCGCAAATGGCAGTTTGGTGTCATGAATGGGACATTAGCAGGAAACCAAGCAACCGAAACCTTGTTCTTTTCCTAATTTCTGTATATCGCTGATATCAAAAACATATTTCGATGACACACGATGACAGCTTCCATTAGTTTCATACCCGCTCTAGGGTTTTTTATTGATGGAGTAGTGCACATTTGAGAAGCGCTAACATCGACCCCCACTTGTCTCACGATTTGGGGCGGGCGGCCGCGAGAGAGCGGACGTCAGTCATAGTGCTCGTCACTGGGCGGGTAAATTTGTAAACGCTCCACCACCACCACAGTTCGCGGCCACTGTGGACTCGTCCGCCCTCGCCGCGGCCGCGCCCCAAATCGTGAAGAAAGTGGGGGAGCCCGCTTCATCCTCACTAATGTCAGTTTAGACAGCTGTCAGTACCAGAAATTGGAAAGCTCAGATTGGCAAAATCATATGCCGAATTAATTTTTCAGGTACGTCATTTTATCCAGAGAGATCCACAGTTGGAACGGGTATTGCGTGAAGTACATTTGGGTACAATGTTTGCTCTCAAGCGGCCCTTTACATGGTTAGGTCACCGCATTAATCATTTACCAACAGGTATGCGATTATCGCTCATAAGTTGAAATACCAATCGAATAGTTGCTCACCATTTCCTGATAGACAAAACGTTCCGTCTCCTTCTTTTTTTTTTTTCCTTGTAACGGCGCGTGAACTAAACCAACAAGTTTAGATTGTACGGTTTTCGATGTATTCCTCGCTTCCCCTCCGCTGACTCCTATATATGTGTGTGCTGCCGTCGTTCTGAAAAGGAAGTCAGCAATACTAACATCTGAACGGTGAGTGGTTTCTCAGCACGTATATTGCATATTGCGAATCACTGAGCTAACGAAGTAGGAATGGGCTAGTGCGACTTGAGGGTCGGAAATCAAATTTTAGTAGTAAGAATGGGGATAATGACCTATGGGTGCTTCAGGGAGGGGAGCATTCTCCCATGAAGTAGATTACTTTCTAGGGCAGAGAGAGATTTTAGGGCATTGGATCTTTAGCCGGGATAAAAAAAGTTGTAGAAACTGTGGCACATCAATGAAATTCATCACCAGACCTTCCCACTTAATATTCCCGTCTTATGCCAAATTTCAATCGCGGGCTGCCCCCTTTCAGGCTGGCGCTCTCTCTGTCTAAATACCGGCCATAGTAGGACGCGCGGAAGGGAGGGCTGTCCGTGTCCGCCAGCGCGCGGTGCCTTCCTAGGCGGCTGGAAGCATGTCCTCTTGCAAAATGTGCGTCGTTCCTTGCTTTCTCCAGGGGGTCGCCTTTTTTCACGTAGTAAGTTTCTCTTCCTCGATCCTTCGCCTAAAGCGAGTGTGACCAGTGGGAAGCAGAACGTCGGAGCGCCTAGCAAAGTAGCTGTGGCCAAATATGCGCCAGCTCCCTCCTTCGAGGATTGCCAATTTTTCCTGAGCTCCGCCTCTGCAGCCTGTGCTCCGCCCCTCATCGTCTGTAGTATCATTGTCTTATCATTTGGATGAGTGTGTGCCCATTTTGTGCGTGCTTTACGAATTTCATTGCTTTTTCACTTTTGGGGCATTATTCAGCATCCCACATCCTATGAATTCAACTCAGTCTATCGTATCCTCGCTCTAACGTGAACCATCCTATAACCTTATTTATTAACGCAGCATTATCTAGCTATATGAAAGCATGATGGATACAGGGACAGGTCAGACGTAATTATCACTAATACCGACAGCAATGTTTCCTTGTGGTAATAATTTTTATTTTTCTTTAGTTCACGAACTAGGATAATTTTCAAGCTGTCTGCTTAAACAGTCACACCACCTTCGTAGGGTATGTAAAAGCGAAACCCGATTCTAAACAATTTTTCATACCATTAGAAGCAGACTTTCCGAGAGAAAACAAGTGTGAAGCTGAACATTTGCTACCACTCCCTAATTAGAAAACTGTGCAGTCAAAAAACTCACAATAATGCTGCGACCCGCAATAGAATGCAAGGTCATGGCCCATTCTGGGCCAATTCAAGACATGAATCGAGTCGAGTCGAGTAGTAGTTCTTATCATCTCAATGGTTTTTAGCTTGTTTACTTTGCAGGGAGATGCCCATTATCCACCAACTTCTTATGAATATGCCAAATGAGATTCATTTGGATGCCATTTTGTCGGACTCGTTATATCTCTCTTCGCTTATGCCGCCTCTCGCCTTGAAGACAGAGTTTACGAGGCTGTATAGAGAAAGAGTAAGTTCGATCCGCATAAATTTATCCGCATATTTCGAAATTTAAAGTGTTCGTGCATGAGCAATACAACCTCGATTAACTATAGGTTAAGGCACGGGCAATCAATCAACGATGGGCACCCGTTTCACGGTACGCTATCACGATGGTCGCTGCAGTTGGGATAGCAGGAGCCGCTTACTATTTCAACCTAGGCAGTAGGTTTTCACTCTCGATGTGAGAAAGGCTGTTCACAAGCTTCCTTTCGTGATATTGATTAGATATCGATGACTCGCTCACTGTGCAGGCTATCTTTATGGGTATATTTTGCGGAGTTTCGGTTTGCGATGAATTTTTGGTGATTTCTGAAATTGTTCCCCTCATTTGGTTTTGTGCAGACTTGTTATTTACTGCTGTCTTCCTTACTCAGAATCTTCTAACAAATTTACCTGAAGGTTTTACACAAATAGGTAGGTAAACCCTAGTTTAATTGCCTATCAGTGATATTTAGTCATAGTGTAGATAATCTAATAAATGTAAAAAGGCGGCAAGCTAAAATTAGTCTCCTGCAAGCGTAATTCCGACTGATTGCGTTAAACCTTCGGGAAAGTGCTTAGTGTCCTTCTTCTCTTCTAAATATACTCCAGTTTTCCACTTGCTCTACGGGCATTCTTGAACCTGCCCGTCGTTAACTTGGTTGCAACTCTGATATCTGATTATTTCATAGTCTATCGATGTTTTGTAAAGATATTTCCTGCTAGTATTTTATGCTGAAGCTTTATCGCCGTGCCGTAACATGTGTAGCAATTCTGTGATAAAGGTATTTTATATTATCGTTTCATACGAACTATTAGAAAAGATGATAACAGTAGTCGTTAATCACCTACGTCACGTAAAAACGACGTATATATCCCAGCAATACGTTCAAAACTTTCTCAATCACTTTCTTTACCATTTTAAAGCATAAAGCATTTGCCGTTGATCAATCCCTTTTTGGGATGCGGCACGCATTCTACTTCCATTTGTACATTCGTAGTGGCGTTTGAATGCGATGTGGCCTATACAATGACTTGCGGGGCCAGCCGATGTACAAGTCAGTGTTTTTATCCTCCCAGACAAGTCTGGTACCAATTAACCGACCCCGGAGGGATGGAAGGCTTGGGCGACTCACGACCCAGGATTTGATCCCCGGACCGCTCGCGTGGTAAGCGTGCCACTTGCCCTTTAACACGTTGACGACAACGCGCGTTTTGGGTTTTTGCACCGCGTGGGACCACGGCGATTTTGCAGGCGCCGCCGCCTCACATCAAATCCGTGAATTTTGAGCTTTAAATACCCAAAACTCGGATGCAAAAATGTTTAGAATGATATTCGATGTGTCAAACTTATCAGAAGGGACAACTGTAAAAAATCGATCGAATTGACGTTTTCTGGCGATGAAAGGCAAGTTTCAGTTGCTTTTGCTGCAGTGAACCTCAAATTATTTTTGACGCGGTTGCTCCACTAAAAACATATGTCTTGCTATATGTGTGGGTCTGTACTTACTTCTACTGCTCTTTTTTATGACCAAGATTATCAGAATATAAAGGAAACTAGGAATGAACACAATTGGGAAATTCGTAGGGCTTAGAAAACCTTCGCTAAAAAGGAGCATATTCAATTCAATGAACCTCGCCGTGTCTAGTCATATTATGGTGTAGTCTATGGAATAGATGCAAAAAATTAGAAAAGAAGTAGCGCATGCGCGAAAAAAATAAATATTTTGTGTGTGCAGCGCATGCGCTGCACACGGTCCCACACGGTGCTCAAGGTGTGATGCGCATGCGCTGCACAATGTCGTCAACGTGTTAAATTTTATCATAAGCATTATAACGAAGTGTACAGTGGGTGATACTCATGAATATGGTGGATGACAAGAGGTTTACTTCCATCATCATAACGTCATGCATACATAGACTCCGTCCCGCTATCACAGGGACAGGTACGGGGTGCAACTATTTGTGCGTATGCACTCACTATCAACGGTAACGACTTTCGGTGTGCCGGCTGATGTTATCGCCAGTGTTTTTAACGTCTTACCAGGTTCACTGCCAAGTACCCGACGCCAAAATAATGGAAGGCCTGTTCGGCATGGGCTAGACGAGAGTCGAGATTGATTCCTGGACCGTGTCTTTTCGCGCTGTAGTTTGAGGTCAGCAGTTCAGAATCTAATTCACAAAACGGAGGGCACCTTTGCGCCAGGCCATTGCGCTCATCCTTTCCTGTTCTGTGATTTCGAGGAAAGGACTGAATTGGGTGAAGTTGGGTGCGGGGAGGGGTCGTATTTTGGGTAAGTTGAACAAAGGGAATTATAATATCCCAAAGAATCTGATTTTTCTTTTCAAAACTTCAAAGAATTTGAGAGAAATTTGTAAGTTTGATCGTTTTCGGCCACATGACACTGTCGACCCTGTAGGCAAGTGCTCTGAATGTTACATTTGGCCGCGTTCAGTAACCCGCCCACTTATTCCGAAGCCTAGAAGGAGTTAGTTGACATACAAGCATTTTGTTAATTCAATTCATTATGCATAGCCCTCTAATTACTTTGAAGTACTCTCCAGTATTGAGTTTTACAGTCCTGACATTACATACGACTTTATCATCTATATGCAACGTAACGTTTCACTATCTAAGGTAAGAAGAACCGTGAAAACGGTTTTTACAGTCAGTATCGTGAAATTTCACCAGTACTCAACAACAATATTCAAACAACAACGATCTATATGCAACGTAACAATCTTTCAAGAACAACAGAGAATAACAATAACAACAAAGTTCAGAAAAAAAATGACAAAATGATTACATATCTATAAGAGGGCATTTTTGACCCACTGTGCAACTGCCGCATTTTGTACCATAACTTGATCGTAATCCGACCACACGTGCTCTTCTTCGACAGATAACTCTTCTAGAACTTTTAATAGCTCGTCCGTCTCTTTGCTTTGACCTTCATTCTTCCACAACGACGACCTGTAAATGAACAACTACCTTCGAATATTACCTATGCTTATCACCTAGGAAATTTACCTATGAATTTTTATTGCTGTCGCCATATACGCCTGCACCAATTCGAAGTCTTTTCTGGTCTTCAGCACCTGCAAAATTTCAAATACATTTGATCAGATGGTGCTTTTTGGCCAAGCGCTGCCCAAATTATCTCATTAGCTGTCGACGGAGCCCACGTTCCAAAACATAAATGAGGTGCCGGAGGCGTAGCACCGAGCTAATTCACTACGAGAGATTGGAAGACTGGGGAACCATCGTGGCATGAGGGCTTGGGAAAGACCAGCGACTACTAGTCACGTTCGATTACATAATAACCTTACAAAGCAAAGAACTAATACTATACTACGACTCACCTCTGTTAACATTTTGAAGAACTTCGGCAATAAGTCTTCAGGTAAGGTCCGTAGCTGGAAATCGATTGCCGATACGGACATCTTTTTCAAACAAGAGAACACTTCAAAAAGTTCTTCTACTGTTTCAGCACTGAAAAAGAGTTAATCACAAGATAATGCCAATAACAGTGACAGTACGCAATAAAAAAAGAATATAAAATACTCACGCCCTCAATGACGCGCTAAATGAACTTTCAAGCTCCAGCAAACTTCTTTTAGCTTGTAACGTTTTTCTTGTTTCTTGTTCATCTTCCTCTTGGAACTTCAAACTCGAATCCTTCAAGGGTAGGAGCCGCCGTTAAGAAGAAAGGCGCCTGAAGAGAAGTTTAGCTAGTTAGACCAGGAAGATATTAATCCAACGATTCGCAACACCAACCTGTTTTGGCTTCCTTGCGGGTTGATCAGGTTTGTTCCTTTCTTTGATTAAAGCAAGGTCGGGAAGATTTGCCCATCTAGATGGTGCCAAACCCGAATATGTCACAAGCGAGGGATCGAGCTGAAACCTCGTCTGTGTATGCTCATCCTATAATGGTACTTTCACAATTTCTAAGATGTGGGAATAAAATATTTAGGAATTCTTCAACAAATGGTTACCGAATCGGTTTCCTCGTCATCACTCTCGTCGTCAATTACAAATGTTTTAACACCCATTTCTGCCACGCATGAATCCGCCCACGTAGGTACGTAATCCAAGGGAAGAGCTCGTATGTTCACATGTGTTGCGTACATATTCTTGTTCACCCAAACAAAGATCGCTTTTTCACCCTGGAAAAAATGAAAATAATGAGAGGCATTATAGAAAAACTCTAGTTTGGCGGCCTAACGATAAGTCTTTTTTCCTAAAAATGGCCAAACTTCACAGAAAAGTGCTAATATCCTTAACCTTAATTGGCATAAGAGCATATACCAATGGTGGTTAAGGAAAACAGCATAAAGGGTGAACATTGAGATACGCCACGCCTTCCCTTCCATCCAGTGCTGTAATTCTAATTGAATCAGTTTTTCCTACACTACAGTCCACGGAGCCAAGCATTGTTCAAATCAGTGTTTTTATCTCACCCTATGAGCCCGATACCAGCTGCTCGACTTCGGAGATACGTAGAATTAGTTGGGCTGGGCGAATTTTAGTCCAAAATTCAAATACCCGGTCGCGGTTGTGATATTTTCGATTGTGATGCGTATTTTTTCACTACCCCAAATGGAACTATTTCTTCGACATATGATTGTGTCTTAAGCCTGTTTTCACCCATGCAAGGGTGGGCCAGCACTGATATATTTTTGTGTTGTCGTGCTAAGAAAAATGAATTCTTGTCAAAAACAAAGTGACGAACGTGAGCAAGAAACCTACCTTGTGAACAGTAGCCAGATATTCACCAGAACTGTTGAAGGACATGCTAATACATGGCTTGTCGAACAGCATCACATCTATGAGTTGCGAGGTCGACAGCTCCCAGACCTTAAACTTGTTTGAATAGCATTTGAAAAAAGTGCCACATAAAAACAAGGCCGACTAATATATACCGGTCATAATATGGTTACAGTAAACCGAAATGAGGGTCAAAAACGAGGATGTCAGAACGGTCATGCAGACTGCCCCTGTTCAGCTGAAGGTGAGGGAGCAGCGACTGCGGTGGTATGGGCATGTGCTAAGAGAAGACCGCAAGGCCACCCGATAAGGAATGCGATGGACTTCGAAGTGCAAGGCAAGCGACCGCGAGGAGCCCCAAAGAAGAGGTGGAAGGATGTGATCAAGAAGGACCTAAGTGAAATCACGGCCACTGCAGGAGATGCCCTAGACAGAGCGAAGTGGCGACGACTGATAAAGACAGCGGACCCTGCGACTGCGCGGGACTAACGCTAGGGAGAAGAAGAAGAAAGAAGAAGATTGTTCGGAAAACAGCGGAACATTGTGAAGCTGAGAGAAGGCTGTGCGATACGAGGGTAGTGGATAAAGGATCTATCGAGACTATTCAAGGTAGAATCTTTCGCCACAGATAAGCATTCTTTTGACAGACTAAACTACGGCGAAACCGGCATGTGCTAAAACTAAATAAGACACTGATCGTCAGTTAATCGTGTCCAAATCGCACCTCGGAACTGGTAGTTCTAATTCATCTAATCTTCTGTATACCATTGGGGCAGAAATTTGGAAGAGTTTGGATAAAACATTCCTTCTAGAGAAAATGGAAGACCACTATTGAACTAATTTAAATTTCTTAAATTCAATGAGGTAGTGGTCTTCCATGGATAAGATTACATCACTACATGTATCGTACCCTGATATATTTCTTGTCGTCCGCTGTAAGAAGCCACCGCCCATCACTTGAGAACGTCAACGCATTCACAGAATGACCAACAGAAAGGAAGGTGCGCACGACACGCCGACACAATGTATCCACAACAGCTACTGAAGCACCTGAAAAGAAAAACGTAACCGACAGATACGACATGATACTATCAGTAATATACATTTTCTTTCCTAGTAGGAACTAATGCAACAGCGAAAGTGAAAGAAGTACTCTGAAAGGATTCAAAATGGACCGAACTGGGAAAGCCACTCACCTTCATCTCCTGCACAGGCAATAGCCAGTAAACTATTCGATGTGCACGGCGCCGACCGCTCTATCCGTAATCGGGTACGCATTGTCGCTAAGAGTTGACCACTTCGCACTTGCCAGAACTTCAAGCTACCCTTGGAGCAACCGGTAATCAGCTCAGAACCACGAGAATTGACTGTCAGAGCTGTTATCCTTGACTCATGCGCTTTCTCTAACTGAAATGAGTAACTGTAGGCTCCTTGGAGAACAGACAGGCTTCACTCCTACGAACCACTGATGGTATGAAGAAACGAAAAAAATCAAAGACTGAGGGAACCAAGGGAAATAATTGGGCAAACCTTAGCTTTCTCCTTTTTAGTCATCTTTTCCTCTATTTGAGCACCTTTTGTGAACGTCTTTATGAAAAGTCCGCTTTGAACATTGAATTGATCAACATGACCTGAGAAAGAGCAACAGCAAATCAACAGAGATACCCTTGCTCCTAACAACTCAAACACAATTACTTACCAGTGGAATAACCAATAAAAGCGAAGTTTCCGCATGGTGATAGCGCAATTGCTGTGGCAGTAGCACAAGATAAAGCAGCATCCTTCAGAAATCTTTCATGGACCAGCTGAAAGAAAAGTTAGCTTGACCTCTACTCAACGAAAAACGGTATGGATACTCAACGAAACTCACTTTATGCGTTCCCTGTGCGTTTTTCCTAGTTGTCCATGTTGTTACCAGTAAAGTGTCTCTGAAATGAAAGCGTTCCTAATGCTAACGCAAAAGGGAACGAAAGCGCTGTAACATTGTCACGAGCTCTTTTAGCACATGACAAATGAAGTGCATGAGAATCTTAGAACAATAGGTGGACAAATCTGCCATAGTGAACGGCTACTCAACAAGATGTTACATTATTTGGCTCTCACTAAAAGGCACGTAGGCGCTATCGCAAGATACGGGCGCATCCTCTGGGACTAGGAAGGTGCAGACACTTTGGGGAAAATGAAAATTGCTGAAGCACTCTGGATTCGCTCCTATCCGCGAGGTTTGTTCCCGTTTTCAACGAAAAGAAGATGTTTTGTGTGGTTTAGAAGGCACTGCGTCCCCGTATCTTGCGATAGCGCCTACGTGCCTTTTAGTGAGAGCCAAATAATGTAACATCTTGTTGAGTAGCCGTTCACTATGGCAGATTTGTCCACCTATTGTTCTAAGATTCTCATGCACTTCATTTGTCATGTGCTAAAAGAGCTCGTGACAATGTTACAGCGCTTTCGTTCCCTTTTGCGTTAGCATTAGGAACGCTTTCATTTCAGAGACACTTTACTGGTAACAACATGGACAACTAGGAAAAACGCACAGGGAACGCATAAAGTGAGTTTCGTTGAGTATCCATACCGTTTTTCGATGAGTAGAGGTC